CAGAGCGACAACAAATCACTCAAAACGCGTCGCAATGGGTTTCGGAACGCTACGGAGCTGTGTGATCTGAAGTGGATATTTGTTACTGGACAACTAATGTCTTGAAGAATAATGATAAGTATAGGTATGGTGCCGTCACAGATAACTACAGCGATGTCTCTAGCCCATTCAAGCCCGGCACCTGATCTACAACGCACTCCTCCTCCTCACCCTCCTCCTTCTTCATCTTCCCTGCGTTGGTATAGAGCGGATACGAGTTCCTGCAGTTGGCGCTGCTTTTGGGGTAAACTCTTTTGTGTGCAACAACAAACTCGGTGCCGTTGATTTCGCCCTCGGCGAATTTTCATTCGGTGATACAGAGCTTGATCTGTAGAGCGGACGCTTCAGCGTGTTTTCCCGACTGGTAGAGATTGTCTGTGTGTATGTAAGGCCGGGCTGTTACATTTCCTTATCCCTACCCGATGATTTTGCTGACGACTCACTTTGGTTGCCACGCCAACAATTGTCCCGACGCCACCGACGTTCAGTGCAGGCATTAGCCAGTCACTTTGACCTGCTGGAGCAATAAACTTGGGTTTTTCTCAAACTTGCGCTTATCCTGCCAACCTTGGCTTGACCGTCGCACGCGAGGTTAACTGCTACAATGTTTTTATACTGGCCGAGCAAGTCTAGCGTTTCCGAATTGTTGAGACCAGCAACAAGGGGGATTGGCGATGCAGCCGCGAGATCTTAAAAGTACGCCACAATGTCATCTTGGCGCATAGCGAAGCTAAGGTATGACGGCACAAGGGCAAGGTAGTACGGCGTACTCGGTTCCCTAGCTTCCATAGTCTGGCGAATCGAGTCGCGCGTGTAACCTACTACTCTTCCTATCGTGATAAGCAGCTCTGTGCGATCGAAACGCTACGCCGCTTTGTGAGGCCTTTGGGATAGCTGGCTCTTCTCTTCAGACGTCAGGGGTCGATTCCTCTCCGTTGGTGCCTGTAATCACGATTCCATGGAGGCCGTTGGATATGAGAAATCTCAAGTGCTTCCTTAGACGTCCTAGTTGATCTCTTGAAAAGGATCGCCCTTGAACTACCTCAACCAAGGCACGTGGAGTTTAGGTCGGAAAAAATACGACGTAGAGCCATTTTTACTGCCTATGGAAGGCATTTTGTGGATGATGTCAGTGTCTGGATGAGACCAGACTCTCGAGATATGAGACACGGGGAGCGAAGTCGTTGAGACACGCAAAGTGTGCGCATGTTGGACAACGGTAACACCGCGGACGTATTCGTCACCTCGTGCCGTGAGTAGAGATGCGCTTCTGTCGTGGAGATGCGGTTGTATATCCGACAGCAGCGGTTCGCCATTATAGACTACGTACATACGACTAGTAAGTACTTAGTAGTACTCGGCGGCTGGGGGCATCCGCCGACAACCTGTCGCGTCTCGGCTGCACTAGTAAATATCTTGGTCCACCCGCCCAACCCCACGCGATGAACATTGCAATTGCAGTCATCTCGGGACTCGGCTGGTTGCGATGTTCACATTGGTTCCGATCGCGCCATCCGGCTCCGTGTGTCATTGAAGTAGGTTCCATGGGAAAGCCGGCGAGCTAATCAGGCCGTTTACCCCCGGTTTCTGCATGCTGTATCTACTACTACTTACGTGTGCTTTCTTCCTCGAACTTCCCTTGACCTTAACACGAAATGCATTTCATGAAACCCATGTCCATGAGAATTCCGCCCGTCTCACTAATTAGCTGCGACTTGGCATAAAGCTCACGAGGACCTTTCCTAGCCCCTCAGGCTATAGCGATTCTGGTCTTGAGGCCTTTAGCGGGCGTAGGGTTCCATATATGCGGCTTGACCCGTGGGTGCTCATCTAGAATCGTTCTAGAGCGTCAGATAATGTCAGTTGGATTACGATGCCGGTAGTTGTGAGTAGAAGCGAGAGAGAGTGGTGTTTGATCTTGATGTCATGAGCGATAAATGGGTGAACTGAACGTTCTCGTTCTCAAGAGAACGGGTATGGATCAGATTAGAAACGTGGAACAACTATGGTGATTCGACTTCCTCGGATTCAGGTCAGCAGCTAGTTATGTATTGCCCGGGAATTGGGTGCTTTTGGCTATCCATTACTGACGAGCAATAACTAGTATGAGAGTGATAGTTAAAACGGGACAAGAGTAAGGCTCAAGCATAATTAGGAGCTTTCCCCTACCGTCAATATTGAAGTATCGTCATGCATGTGATACTCCACTCAATGTTCCCATTTCTTTTGATAGAAAAGACCATTAGTTTGAGTGACATAGATCTCACCAGAGTCTGTGGTATACGTATAACAAAAGCTAGGGACTAACTGTAGCGACGTGGACTAAGAGAGCTTTGCAAGCATAACTGTTGGGGAGCACTGGATGAATGAGATCAGGGTCTGAGCGAACATAGTGATTTGGTTTTTGCTAAACATATCGACAGCACGATCGTGCTAGTGGCCATGTTATTGCGGGAGGTGGAATTCGGATGGCGTCAAGGCCGAGGTGAAGGGTTACAGGACAATCGAATTCTCATCAACAAGAAAGTTGGAGAAGTCTAAGGGCTGCTTCTCGTTCGACGATATAGACATGTACGTGCCGCTATCTTCAGAGACTCCATTCATTTTATCATGTCCCTTGTTGTGAGTTAAAGACTACCCTATTGACATGTGAAACATTTGGCCCTAGGTGAGCGAGACATCCTCGCTTACCCGTCGTCTGGTGGCATTCCTCCTATTGAATGAACCCGCTAACGGGGTTACATCCGATTCTGCATCAGCTGAAGACGCAGTTGACCTTGGTACTGGAGGCTGCCTACTAAAAATTTCTCCTTGGAGGTTTGGCAAAGCTGTTGCTGTTGTGTCTGCCAAGGCGGCACGCTGTTGCTGAGCGGCTGACGAAGTTTCGGCCGTTGATGTGAAGTACATAGTATTTCTAACCCCTGCTAGTGTAGAGTCCAAACAGTGTGCATGTCAGTATGCGGATGTGCCGGAGAGAGACAGCTAGGTCTTCTGGTGGTTCGATATGCGAACTAATTACTATGTGGTTCAGGGTAACAGGCATATGAGAGCTCGAACAACCACACTATGCAGGCTCAGAATATCTTATCCTCCAAACAGCGAGACTCCAATCTTCTCACCACCCACTTCTGTTTCTTAAGACAATAATGTTAGATACGCGCGACTCGGCCAGCAATCCTTTTAGCAAACGCTCTGCTAGAGACAAAGTGTGCATTCAAAGAACCTATGAACCTAATGGTAATTTATGCTGCATAGGAGAATGTACATTGTCTCGCAGCAATTACAAGTGTCATACAAGTGGTTTGACATGTTGGTGAAAAACAGCAGGAGCAGGAGCAGGAGCAGGATAAGGGTTAGAGTCAAAGTTAGCGAAGGCCTGCCTCAAAGATTAAACTCAGTTAGGTTTGCAAGCGCAGGGGCCGTGGCTACGATGGGCTTTGAGTTGGATGTTCAGGTCTAATGCTATAGTAATTGATTGCAGATGCAGTCCTCAAGTTTAGGGTGTACACAACTATCAAGGATGAATGAAGCACGTCGGTTCTGATGATTATCCAAAAAGAAGAACGGGTATCAATTTATAGCCAAGAGAAATTTGTCCACCTTGCGCATGTTGTATAATACAACTCCATAGCAAAGGTTAGACTAGACGTAGCCAAGACTAGGCCTTGGTGTAGGCTGGCAGATCCTCAGAGGACTGCACCTTGGTGGCAGCCCTTCTGGCCATCCTCCTCTCGCGGCGATCCAACTCCCTCGCCACCGCCTTGGCCAACTTCCTCCTCTCCTCCCTCTCCTTCTGCTTCAAGATATCGTTCTTTCCCTTGCCTGTCCAAACCTTCCTGAACTCCTTGCGAAACTTTTGGCCAAAAGTGATGTGCTTGTCGGCCTCGTCTTCAGCTTGGCGCTGCTTGTGCTCCTCCTCGTCCTCGGTGTCGTAAAAGTCCGAGTCATCATTGTTATCGCCATCGTCGACGAGGCGATTGGTTTCCGAGGACTCGAGGCTGACGGCGCGCTGGTTGCGGGCTTTGTCCCAGACCTTTGTGCGCGAGTATGCGATGCAACCGGTGATGCTGAGGACGGTAAGAAAGGGAAAAGAGAGGAAGAGCAGCATCACAATGCCGAAGGCGATGAGGTCTTCATCCATGATGCGTGCAGTTTGAGAGAGTGAATAAGTAGTAGGTTGTGAGGGTGAGGTGGATATGTTGGAGGTGTGGTCAAGGTCAAGGGATGTTGCAATATATGTGTAACGTGATAGGGTTGGGGTGTTGGGGAAAGGAGAGGCTTGTTGCCACCTTGACCCAGTGTGGCGCAGCAGCCGTGGTGACGTTCACATGCAGTATGCACGTCATTGCTGTGCGTGAGTCAAGCACCAGCACCTTGTACATACTATGTTCTTTCGCATATATGTATGTACTACACTACATACGTACATACATGCTTGCATACATGTGCAGTATACCACTGTTCTTCACTCGCAATCATTACACATATTCCATGCAGTCGTATTAAGCGACATGCGGCTATATCGCCATCATAGGGCATGGGCCTCTTGGGAATTCTGCGCTAAAAATATGGCCTAGGATGTCTCCTCAGGGTCATGCTAATATGGGACTGCCCGCCTCTTCTACTGTGTAGTACTCGACTCTACAGCATCCTCAGTCGTCCGCTGAAGTACATTCTCACAGTTGAGTGAACAAAATCGACCACAACATCGTGGTGCGCACATGCATGCCACAGCTGCCTCTTATGTTGCTGGTTGGGGGCCTTCGTCCTATGCGGCCTTTGCGCCGCTTTACGATCATCCGGCAATGATATGCTTTTCATTTTTCTAGCACAGCCCGTCGGGCCGTTCCATCTACTGTGTCATTGACTTTTGGAACACATAGAGTCAATCGTGGTAATCATTCCTATATGATTGCTTGAGCTGAGTCCAATATACCCTCACACACCTAGCACTGTGGACAAAAAGATCCATTAATATCACTCATATATCCTCTTGGTTTTTTGGGGGAGGTTTGCAATACCTCTATATAGGTGCGAACGTGGGGGTAAAGAGATTGTTCCCCATCTATACGAAAGTGCTAAGCTAGGTTAAGGGTATTGATAATATTACATTGGCCTTTTTCATCAATTAGACCTGCCCACACCGCTGGCATTATAAATAATAAGATTTTCATCATTGCCCAAAGAGATCCTATACAGTTTGCGTCTGCATATACGTAAACTTGTCACGCCCTAGAGTTTTGTCTCATTAGCTTTTCCATCGCCTGGTACTAATAAACCCATTTTTTACGCCAGCATCCATCATGGTGGGAAGCGCTAACAGGCCTCTGGCCATTGCCGGTACTGCCTCGGCAGCCGTCTTCGACCTGCCCGTTGTCATCAAGGGCTCATACAGCAGCGTCAGGCTCGACATCGGCACGCCTCCGAAAGAACACCAGTTGCTGTTCGATACCAGCTCATCAACCCTCTGGACCGTTAGCACTGACTGTACACAAGACTCGTGCCCAGAACGAAACACGGAGCTGTATAAACGACGATACTACAATGCATCGGCATCGTCCACAGCCGTCGATGTTGGCATTCCCGCCATGATTCCTTACTTGGGCGGTAACGTTGAGGGCGAAATTTACCAGGACGTCTTCAGTGCTCTAGATGGGTCCGTGGAATGGAACCAGTCATTCATTGCAGTCAATGAGAGCTCATGGGTTTGGATCACTGCAGACGGGTTTCTGGGCCTTGGTTTCTCCACCATCGCAGAACTCAACACGTCGACGCTGGGTCGAAACGCTACTGTGGGATGGCAAGCTAGACAAAGCCCGATTCGGCCTATACTTTGGCACGAACCTAGGAGACGAGGGCCCTCAGGACGGTGTGCTGAGCATTGGTGATAGTCACGAGGACAAGTATGTTGATGGCCAGGTGGTTTATGCTCCTCTGCAGAAGGTCAACAACGAGTATGGTCTATGGCACACACCGTTGAAGGCTGTCCACCTACTGGTCGCCAAGAACCCGTCCAACCCAAACCACACAGTCGAGACGCACATTGGCAAATTGCCCACGACGCAGTTCTCTGGCAATGCTCTCGAGTCACCCAATATTACTTTGTCAACGTTCGGCGACGGCCGGGCTGTTTTCGACACGGGAGCTGGCCGCCTTTCCGTGCCATACGAAATGATCGATTCCTTGTACTACAACCTCGGCTGGGATTACCAAAGTCTGCTCTACGGCAAGCAGCGCTTTACATGCGAGGCCATGAATGCATCCTGGGCCATTTCTCTGATCCTTGGTGAAGGTGCGCCCGAGAACGATGTCGTGGTCAGCATTCGCGGCGATGAATTCCTTGAGCCTGGAGCACAATGTATGCCACCGTTTGACTCTTCCAGCTCACCTTCTTTTGCGCTTGTTGGCAGTGCCTTCCTCCACAGGTACTACACTATATGGGACTTTGGTGCGGATAAGGTGGCTGAGTACATGCCTCGGCTTGGATTTGGAAGACTCAAGAAGGAGTTTGACTGGAACTACCAGTCGTGAGTGTAACGTGGAAGGGAGGGGGGGCCTGGCCGATTGTGCATGTGTATACGTAAAATATCAAGATGAGATGCAAACGAGGTACTTGGTGCAATGACGAATATCATTGTTGCGGGCGCAAAAGCGTGCTGTGTAATAGTGATACGAGCGGTAGATAGACCAGCTATTAATTTCAGCAGAAGTGAGCAATACATTGCATGGTTATCGGAGTGAGCATGTTGATTGCAAGTGTATATATGTATGTATGTATGTATGGTGGTGGTGGTGTCAAGGCCAGCATGAGTCTTCCTAGGTTACGTCAAGGACCCTGGCGCTAGTCGCTGACGGACGCGCAACCACTGCTTTCTGTCCTCATCTCGCGTGCTCTGTTGTCTGACAACCAAACCCAACAACCTCTCACTTCGCCATGATCCAGGCTCTTCTCCAGGCACGTCTAGCCCTGCAATTGCTGCCTCTGCTCCTAAACCTAACCCCCCTTTTCATTCATCACTAACACACACTACAGCGCCTGGCCCGCTGGCTCGACCGGCCGCAGTTCCCATGGAAGCGCTTGGTTGTCGGCTTCTCTCTCGCAGAGTTTGCCCTCGAAAACTGGCTTCTCTTCCGCCAGTACCGTGTCCTCCAACGCACTTCTATCCCCAAGGCTCTCGACAAGGAAATTGAAAAGGAAACGTTTGATAAATCTCAGGTGCGCCTCCCCTCTCTCCCCCACTCAGACCACACATGGCGCCAGTTGTGATATTGATACTGACAACGGCCGCAGCAATATGGTCGCGCCAAAGCAAAGTTCAGCTTCATCTCCGGTGTCTTCAACCAACTCAAGCACCTAGCCTCTCTCTACTTCAACCTCTACCCGTTTGTCTGGACCGCCGCCGGCACTGTCCTCGCCCGCTATGCGCCCGCCCGTTTCTCGGGCGAGATATCGCAGTCACTCTTGTTCATGTACATGCTCGGCTGGATCGACTTAGTTGCCGGTCTCGGTTTCTCGTACTACCACAGCTTCGTCCTGGAAGAAAAGTTTGGCTTCAATAAAATGACGGTCAAGCTCTGGCTCACGGACATGGTCAAAGGCCAGGCGCTCGCTATTGCATTTGGTATTCCGATTGGAAGCGCCTTCCTGGCCATTATCAACAAGACGGGGCAGGGTTTCTTCTACTACCTGTGGATGTTCATGCTGGTTGTGCAGATTACCGGCATGACCGTCTATCCGATTCTCATTGTGCCCCTGTTCAATAAGCTGGAGCCGCTCAAGCCCGGCAAACTCAAGGAGTCAGTCGAGGCGCTTGCTTCCAAGCTCAACTTCCCTCTTTCGGAGCTACAGGTCATTGACGGCAGCAAGCGCAGCGCTCACAGCAATGCCTACTTCACGGGCCTGCCCTGGATTGGCAAGAAGAAGATTGTCATCTACGACACACTACTGGAAAAGAGTACGGAGAAGGAGGTCGAGGCCGTGCTAGCACACGAGCTCGGTCACTGGAAGATGAACCACACGTCGCGACTTCTCTTTATTAGCCAAGCGCATCTATTCTACATTTTTGCCCTCTTCTCCGTCTTCATCAACAACCGGTCGCTGTACGCAGACTTTGGCTTCCACCGGGAGCAGCCGACCATTGTTGGCTTCATGCTCTTCAACGAGATTCTGTCGCCCACGGACTCGATCGTTAAGCTTCTCCTCAACATCTGGACCCGCAGCATGGAATACGAAGCAGGTACGTGGCTCAAATGCTTGCGTGTTTATGTCTGTGTGTGATCAAGGCTAACATGAAGCAGATGCTTTTGCTGTCAAACTTGGCTATGCGCGTGAGCTAGGCGCATCGTTGATCAAGCTGCAGATTCAGAACCTGTCAAGCATGGATGCCGACTGGTTCTACTCGAGCTTCCACCACTCGCACCCCATTCTGACAGAGCGTCTCAAGGCTATGAAGTGGACTGGCGAGAAGAAGATTGTGGTTGACAAGGCGGCCGACGAGGACAAGGCTGTAAAGGCAGCGGATCGGGAGCTGTAGGCGTTAGTGGGTGGTTGTTGTGGTGGTGGTGCGTTTGAGTACGAGGTGTGGGACAAAAAAGGCCCCGGGCGTGTGGAAGCAAGATTGGGTGCAGACCGTTAGTTTAGTGATAGCATGTAGCTCCAGTGCGACGGCGCAAAAGGTGGCAGTGCCTCTCATTTTGGTCGGTCTGTGGTGACACGGCAAGATGGCTAATCCGACTTTTTTGCCTTTGCCGCATTGTCCCTCTTCCTCTGCAGGTCTCGCTCCTTCTTGGCCTTCTTCCTGGCATCCTTGTCCACCTGTCCATCTGGGGGCGATTGTTGGTTATGATCATGGCCATAGGCCTGGTCCTTCTTTCTCTTCTTGGTGTCGTTGGTCTGCACTAATGGTTCCTGCCCACCCTCTTGCACAACGTTGTTCCTGTTGCCCACGTCACCAATCTCGATGCCGCCTTGCCCGGCCTGATAGGCGGCCACGTCTTGCCACTCTTGCTCTGCGCCTGTGTTTTTGCTGCCCTCGCCATCAGCAGCGTCCAGGGCCTCTTCCTGGGCCTCGAGAGTCGTGTCGGGCTCAAGGTACTCGCCGCGCAAGCCCGCAGCCACACGGCGCAGATGGTGCATGAGCAGATTCCCTACTGCGCCGCCCTTTGCGTTGAACGTCACGCCATCGGGGGTGATGAGGGCATCGGGGTGCAAGTGCGCATGTGTCTCGGAGTTTTGTAGGTACTTTTCTAGCACGGCGGATGCGGCGCTGAGAGACACGGGCGCGCTGGATACCTGGCGGCGAGGTGGGGGCGCCTCGAGCAGCATGGTTGTGCGATTGTATAAACGAATGAGGTGAGTTGGCTATGGCGCAAACATCAATCTTGGGTTGAGTGGTGCATTCAGAAAAGAGTCTTGGATAGGATCATGTACATGGGCAGTCAAAGGTGCAACTTTTTGCGCACGGACGCCCGACCCATGTTTTATTGGTTTTGGTCTGCGGACTGGGGGAACGGGGCGCTGCAATCGACAAACGATAAACACACACGCAAGTCAATTGGGGGAGAAAAGATGGACTGAGAGAGGCAGAGGGACAAAGAAGAACAAAAACAAAGTTTTCCAATTGTACAGAAGAAGAGAAAAGAGGAGGCACGATGAACGCTTTCCGGTGCCTGAGGGTTGCTTCAACCAGCTCTTGTGCGCTTCTCAGACTACGCACATCAGGCACAGCAGCAGCAACACAACGGTATACACACGCCCTCTTGTATCACGACATGACCCAGTATCGCTAACTTTTGTTTCTTCTCTTCTCTGCAGCCTATCCACACCCTCGCAAACCCGCCAAATATCTCTCCTCTCACCCCGCCGTCCTCTCGTGCCTGCGACATACTCGTCACCGTCAACCTTGGCCCCGTCTGGCACCTCGTCCTCTCTCGCCAACCTGGAAACACTAGACCTTGTGGGCAGAATATCGGCGCATCCCGCCCTGGGCAGCACGCAGATCCGCTGCGGACCCCGCGACACGTACAATCCTAGTCATTTGGTGCGCAAGCGCAGGCATGGGTTTCTGAGCCGTCTGCGGACCAAAAAGGGGCGCAAGATGATTATGAGGCGGTTGAAGAAGGGGAGGTGGAATATCAGCCATTGAGAGAAGGCCGAGGACGAGACGGGTGGTCAACGCACCAGTGTGCTAGAACTGCTTCTATGAAGCTCTGTACACCGCAAGTGAGACGCCGACGTCCTGCTGCCATGACTTGGAAACAAAAGGTACTTATCACGCTTGTAATATAAATGCGGCATAGTTCCCTGCATCGACTGTGCCACCACATTCTAGGGTGCAAGTACAAGCTTGTGTTCGTCGATATAAAGACCACTGTATAGGCTCTTGGACTATCTAGTAGTGCAGTACGGCAGCATAGCTGCACTAGAATGACAATGCTTCATCTTAGCCATTGCAGGAAGGCGCCATTTGTGTATACATGTGTTACCCTGGATGCCGTTGAGGTAGGCCTCCAAGCTATTTCGTCATGGCGGACTGCAAGTACACCCATACGTCTTGAATGCGTTGCCTAGCTGATGATACCACGTGACATTCATGGCCACCGAGATACCACGGCACTTTTTACAGTAATCAGCCCAAGGCGACGCACTTTACTCAGGCGTTGCTATTGTTTCTTCCTGCTTGTTCTTGTCCGCGTCCTTGAGCACCTCTTCCCCACCACCCCCATCCAATGTCTCCGCAAGCTTTGCCTCCTCATCTGTCTTGTCAATCTGCTTCAGTATAAACGTAATCGTTGCATCCCGTGCCTTGTCCACCCTTCCCAATGCCTCCATACTCATGCGATCATAATCCATTAGCTTTTGAAGCGTCGGCAGCTCCACCCGCCCCTCGCTTTGCAACCTTGCCTTTTTCTCGCTCAGCAGCTTGCGCAACGCAAAGATGTTGTAATCTCTTTCTTGCAAATTGTTAATGAGCTCTTTGCGCTTAGCCTCTTCTTGCTCTTCCTCCTCTTGTACTTTTGCTTGCACTTTCTGCTTCTTATTACTGGCAGAACTCAAGGCTTGCTGCGCACTGTCAGAGGACGAAGCGCTTGCGGCTTTGGCCTTGCGAATCGCCTCCTTGGCACTCGATTCAATATGCGTGAAGCGAATAGGACCTATGTTTTGGCCGCCGTACCAGCGCCCAACTACCACGGTCCCGCAAGTCGATGTGTCGCGCAGTACATTACTGAGCCGTGTTCCGGCCCATTTCTCACCGTCGTCGTCATGCCCCGTGTCGTACAGGGTGCGCGACGCGGGCATCAGTGACATTTGCCGCGAGGGCCTGCGCCATGCCGCGATCCTGTGCGTTGCGCTGCGGAACTCGGGCAGCGCTTGGAGGGCTTTTGCGCTGAGAGAGGGAGAGAAGGCGGCCGTAAAGGACGACGTCTGCTCATGGATTGGAGCTGAAAAGTAGATTTCTGGTGGGGCTGGGGAAGGCGAGTGTTGTCTTTTCCCAGCCATTGTTTACATTGTACTATTGATTCCTCATGACTTTGCCTGCCAAGGTTCGGCGCGTTGACATGGCGGATTGAGGTTGGAGGTACGACAAGGATTAGCGGATATAAGGAAACGCTAGTAGTAGTACTAGTGCCGGTACCCAAGGACCGTGTCGAGCTTCTGCCTCTTGATCAGACGTCATCTTATCATGTCCAGACCATTTCTGTCAAAGCCATGACAGCAAAACTACGTTGTGGTTATCAATTCATCCAGTGTTGTGCATGTGTTGCAATCTTCTGCAATCCTTAGAATATGCTTCTCCTTCCCACCACAACAACCGACCGATTCACACCATTTCGGGCATCATGAGCAAGTTTTCTTGGCCTCTCTCCTGGCACAATGAATACCTCAATATCGTTGCAGGCTTGATCTATAAAGACAGTCTATCACTTTCAAAGCTCAATTGGGCTTACCATGCAAAGAGGCACACACTGCCCATGCGGTCTACACAACGGCACGAAACAAGACAACCCTGCCAATCGAATGCTCTTATGCGACTAGTACTCTCTGATACACGTTTATTGCCAGGACTACATCAAGGGGATCTCTCCTACACAATTTTTCTAGCTGGCCACATTCGTATGGTACTTCTCTAGCGCTTCTCGAACCCGCTTCCTTGTCTTCTTCACCGTTCATGTCAATTTTTCAGAACAAATAATAGTGGTGAAAGCATTCATGCTTGCTACTAGTCCCAAAAATGGCTGCTAGCCTCCATCCTCTCTCACTTCCCAATCCTACAAAAGCGTCACGCTAAACTCTCCGGATGGTCCATCCTCGTGTAACACCCACGTTTCTCATTGAATTTACAACACTTGATTGACTCAAAGAAGATAATTACCATTTTTGGTGCACTCAAGAGTGAACGCGCTTTAACAATCTTGTTTCAATTATTGTCTTCCATTTGCTTATCTCTTGGACCACGCAGTATATTAACAGCAACATTTTACGGTAAGTTTACTTGAATAGTTAGTCGTCATATTGTTCTCTCTGCCCAGGTCGAAACTCGGTGGACTCGAAGCGATTCTCCCGCCTCTAGCGTCTGAGATAGTTTCGCTTTGCTAACTTTGGTATTGTAGGTAGCTCACTCTGCAACTACAGGGCTGAAGACCTTACGTACTGAATGCGCGGAAACACTACACAGTGACTTGGAATACGCCGTCTCCCATTATGCGCAGGTTCGAAACCTTGAACCCAGAGACTAAGGATCTGGTGCTATGCCTCCTACCTGCGCTTGCTACTTCTTTTGGTGTCGCGGACCCTGTAGACATCATCCCGCAGGATATCCGGATGCGCGCGTGGGATTGTGAGCGCCGTGACCACATCAAGGAAGAGACGGAGAACGACCCCCGCAACTGGGGTGTCCAGTTCATCAAGGACCTCATGGCCATTTCGCGTCTCAAGAAGGGCGACCTGGCCACATTTCAAGCGGATCTATACGCAAAGTGCGCTCTGCATGAGCCCAAGCATCCTTGGTGCCGGTTGAACGATATTCGAGAGCTCAAGGACGAGTACGAGCACCCAGAGCGCAAGAATCAAGTCGAGGTGGTGGAGCCATCGTCCAGCTCCTCGACTGATTCTTATTTTGAAGAGTTGGTAGAGCTGGATGAAGCGAAGGGTGCGAAGCGCCGCCGCGGTGGTGCTCATGAGGTCTACGAGGCTCGCGTGATGAAGAAGCGGCACAAGCGTAAGTGCCGAAGACTGCCTCTGAAGGCCATGAATGCTAAAACTTGACAGATAAACCCGCCCGTCTCCGCCGAGCAGATGCTGGTGGTTTCCAGCGCCACGATCCAGCTGCGAAGAAGCGCCAACGTGCAAGTAACACACCCAACGATGCCCGTCGCATGGCCAACCGCGGGAATCGACCAGTTCTCACTGACGAAGACGACGACGACGGCGACATCAGCTCAGTGCGATCTGCCCACACCCGCTCTCTTCTTGCCCACCCGGCGCCCGCCTTTTCCCTCTCCCCCGGCCCACGGGCTAGTTCCACGTGCGAGGTTGATGCCTCGAACGAGTCTCTGGCGGTGCAAAAGTTGCAGGCGGAGCTAGATGTCGCGGAAGCTGAGCTTAAAGCTGCCCGTCTCAAGTACCAATACATCCAAGCTAAAGAACAGGCCGAGGCGAGGCAGATGCACGGTGATGGTGGTGCTCTAGGAGATGCTCTCTGATTGGACCAGGGACATGATTGTGAGGAGAAGGACATTGATGCATGTGGATGAGTTAATTCCGAGCGCCATGTATACGCATACTTCTAAGTCCTCGTATAGCAAGTTAGTCTAAGCCACCGTGCGAGACTCTTGCCGCGGCAGCAGCTGGTGCATCTGGTCAGTCAATAGCTAGTTGGTGTATCACGTGACAAATGTATACTGTTCCCCATAGATGGATGCTGACACTGGGCGTTGAATGGCATACATACATGTGCAATTTCATGACAACGCAAAGGCATTGAACTCATCGCTTTTGCAAGTCAACGCCAGTACCAAGGACTTGCATGGGTTCGTCTGATGTGTGTACTTGGATACGTACGTAGGCGTAAGTAAGCCATTAACTGATGGAGCCTGGTTGACAAATGCTCGCCAGCTGAAACGGCTAAACAGCGCCTTAACATGAACGGACAATTTGGGAGTAGTACGAGCATGAATGTGCCACACGTCCTAGCGGCCAGTAGATGAGGGTAATCTCCCAAGGGCAAGCAACAAGAAAGGGAAACAGGATCTACAATATGTACATGGTATGCACTCATGTAGGTAGGACATTGTATGTAAGTAGGTAAGTATATAAGTAAGTATATATATAAGTACATATGTAGTACATGGTAGATGTATACATGGGCACTGACAAGCGGGGCGTCTGTCCGTCACATCCATATCGACTGCAAAGCGTTCTAGGCTCTGCATGGAAGACTGCGCAGTCGAATGATCCCTGGGCTGGCCCGCACGCGGGTCGCCTTGACCTGCACGCTGCCGGCTGGACATGCACGAGGCCATGCCCACGATCCAGGTACGGGTATCTAATGTCTCCGCAGCACCAGCAAAACCCCTCAGACCTGCTTGACTCGGTGCCTCGCATGAGCCTACGATGCACGCAGGCTAGTTTGGGATGGAGCTCCGACGTTAGCGCCTCTCCGCACTATGTCTATCCCGTCCCCGGATCTTCTGACCTTTCCGACTCCGAGGTTCGTCCTGGAGAAGGAAAAAAAAAAGAGAAAGAAGAAGGAAAAAGGAAAAAGGACGGAACCGAAGAAGAGCAGAGCTATAACCACGCAACATGACCCACTGCCATGGACCAGTCATCGCAGAAAAGAGTTTCCAAAGCATGCGACGCGTGCAAGCGGCGAAAGGTGCGCTGCAACGGCCAGACGCGTTGTCAGCAGTGCGCCCACCTCGGACTGCGATGCATCTACTCGCCATCTAGCAAGCAGAGATCACAGGGCAAGAGAGGCCATATCATTTCAGAATTCAGAACCCAGACATCTACATCATCTGCCACGGCGACGCCCATCCTGCCTGCTCACCCAGGGCAAGCCACCTACCAGGCCGTATACACTCCCATTTCGCCCACCGTCACGAGCAACGAAGCCGAAGCCAGTAGGTCACTTTTTTCTTTTTTTTTCTGAAGCTCGCAGAAACAATGCAGAATGCTGCTGCTGACCCGGAGCAGCATCTCCTGTTTCTTCTCTGACGTTGCAGTACAACAAGTCGTTCTTTCTCGACCTCATTCCCGACTATGTCGAGGGCGTGTATCCCGTGCATCCTGTCATTACCGCACATGAGCTCCGCCAGTACATTGAGGCCATGGACACTGATCCAGATGTGTGCTCCTTTGTGTACGCTTTTGGCGGCTGCACCCTCAATCTCACCCGCTATGGCGACCGCAGGACAGACGAAGTGGTGCAGACGATTGAGAAGCTCATGGACCACTCCATCGACACCATGCGCCGCTCCCATAAGCATTGCCAATTTTCCGTCATGCGAGCAGTGCAGTCCATGTTTATCCACAATTGCTTGATGAGCCTGCAGGGCAGTGACGCCGCTTTCTTCTATATGCGCGACGCAATCACCATCATCCAGCTGCTGAGGATAGACAATCCGGAGAATGCTGCACAACTGTCTGCCCCAGAGCGCTCTCGGAGACAGCGGCTGTACTGGCAAGCCTTCATCCACGAGCGCTTCCTGGCCATCCTCGACTATCGCCGCGCAATCCTGCCCCCACTCTACACAATGCCCGAAGACGACCCCACGCTGCCCATCCAGGTGCACGAGGGCTTCATTCATATCATCAAGCTATTCAAGCTGCTGGACACGGAATTCCTCAACAGCTGGCTGGATTCGCAGGGCGCCAACGTCACCAGCACCTGGGTCGAGGCTAAGTCGCGCGAGCTCGAGGGCGACCCTGAGGCGGACGCGCGCGAGCTATCCATGTTGTCCATGATGCAGCGCGCCGATCTGTGCATCACACGCGAATGGCTGCGCACCTTGGTGTGGCGTCTCGCCATGAGTCAAACGCTGCTTTCCTCACGTTCGCCCAAAGAATGCCTATCACTCCTGTTTCCCGTGCGACTCTCGCAGACGCTGCGTCAACTAGTCTCGAGCATGTCGCGGCAGGACATTGAAGTCCACGGCACAAGCATCACACAGAAGCTGTTTGAAATCACAGACACCATTGCCGACGTGCTAATCCATGTGCCCGCCGCCACACTCGACGAGACAGCACTGCGCATCGACGACTTTCTCTTCATCCTCGACTTTGTCCTGCTCATCCCTCATCTCGACCACACCCGCCGTGGTATCTTGCTCGAGAAGCTGGAGCGGCTGCAGACAATGTTCCCAGAGGTCCTGAGTAATGCTAGCTCTCCGAATCTGCCCCTCGATGTGCATAGTCCCCCCAGTGGCGGCAACAACAGCAGCAGCAACAACAATAACGGCGCTGGTCCCGTTGTGCCAAGTGACCCTTGGTACCAGGTC